ATTCACTGAGAGTTTCTGAATTTGGGGGATCAGATAGGAAGAAAAAGTAAATGCTTCATCCTTGTTCACCAAGGTATATCTTACCAAGTTGTTGACAGCTTAAGGGAAAAGATTTCTTTAAATCTGGAAAAAAACATTAAAGAACCCCCAATACTTTATAAACAGAGTCATAAAAATCCTTATCAGTTCATTTAGTCTCATGTTATTAATTCTTGTTCCTCTTGAATCCAGTTTTTTTTCCATTAGTTCCTGCAACCTCACCTGAGGATTAAGGGTGATAGGGACAGTGATAACTCCATGAAATTCCAAGTTTTTCATTAAAGTTCATGTGATTTTCCCAAGGAAGTGGGCGCCTCAATCACCCACTTGTGAAGGTAGAGATTGTGGAAGGTATAGCCACAAGGTACATCCTTACAAATAAACCCAAATTTATATTAGTTCCTCTACAATAAGAAAACAAGGGGACTTCCCTGTCAGCCCAGTGGTTAAGACTCCATGCTTTCATGGCCAAGGGCCCAGGTTCAATCCCTGGCTGGGGACCTAAGATTCCACAGCTTACAAGCTATGCAGCGTGGCCAAAAAAAGAAACAGACCCAAACCTATGTTCAATAATTCAACGGTTCAGTATTTTCTTTAATTTGGAGAGATCTATAATGGATATTCATTACATTTCTAGCATTTAACTTAATTTTGACAAAACTTTAAGGTTTCAATTTACTGAAAAGATTTGGAAAACTAATTTGAAAAACTCAACTAAAAGCTTTTTACCCTACTTATGTTTATCTATAGAATCCACCTGCCAATGCAAGACACATGGGTTCAATCCCTGGGTCAGGAAGATCCCCTGGAGAAGGAAATGACAACCCTTTCCAGTATTCTTGCCTGGGAAATCCCATGGACAGAGCAGCCTGGTGGGCTACAGTCCATGGAGTCACAAAAGAGCAATTAAACAACATATTTACTTACTTGCTCTTAACAATTATTTAGATTACTTAGGGATACATCATACCAGCTATTTTTCTTGCAAGCCTAGATAATTCTAAAGAGATGTTTGTTTTAACCAACAACCTTAAACTAACTTTTATTCGCTAAAAATATCTTAGATCACATAATTTTGAAAAGCATTTCAGTTAGTTTCTGTTAACATTTCTAAGAATTTCAGAGTGCCCAATGTTTATGAGCTTGAGGTCAAACTAAATAAAGCTCTTTTACAAATAATTTTGCAGTACCATCCACAGGTTACACATACACATGCATATCTACAACATAAATATGCTGATACACACAGATGCAGAGATCTTATAGTTATCAATATTAGTGAAATACACATCTAAGATTTTGTTATCTGCCCAATCTCCAAATATTTCTCCCCCCCCCCTTTTTTTTAATGAGAAACAACTGCATTTCAAAGAATGGATCTTAAGTCTCAAAGAAGATGGGAATAGGAAATCTGTATCACAAAGACACAGATTAAGTGCAGAACAATTCTGCCTCCAAAGTCCCAATATCTACAAGTACTTTGAGATGAACAGAAGAGGTTTTGGGACTCACAAAAAGGAATGACATCCACCCACCTGTTGCTGGGCTGTTTCCCTCTGGGTATATCTAGCTTAAGGTATAAGGCAAAATAAATTCTTACTAGGTGTTGAATATTTTCAGTTCCTCTAAATGTTTAAGGAAATCATTTAGCACTTTACCCAAAAAAATCCCTGTTTCACCAACTTTGCGAGGGACCCGTACGGGGCCATTTTAGTTGATGTTGGAAAACTTGCATAGGCCCTTAAAAACAATTTCTTTTCCAGTGTCTCAGTTGTTCACAACTGAAACACTGATCTCTGGGCCAGTTTTGATAATGAACCCCCAAGAAGGTGAAATCGGGGAGGCTGAGGCATTGTGTTAAATATCTTTTCTAGGTTTAATTTTTCATTAGACTTCTGCAAGGACTCTTCTAGTGAATTATTTTGAAATTCTGAAAGTTTTTGGAGACTTCTGCTTACTAATTAAATCAGGTATTTCATTCGGTTTGTTTGACTTGGGAACCCTTGTTTTTAAGGGTACTTATTAAGTGACCTTATTGTGTTAGGACATTCTTCCTAACATAATTCTAGGTTGATTTTAGTAAAGCTTTGTCATTTTGCTAAATAATTGCAGCTTCCAGGATTCATAACTCTTAAATATAAAATAAGTAGGTGTGCTGGAAGACAGTGTGCTCAACTATTTGGACATAAAGGATCACATTTCTTTCAGCCAGACCTTTGGTTTTCTCAGAGCCAAACTAATACCTAAAGGGACTTGTGGTGGGGTTGGGAATGATGGGGTATTTCACAGTGTATCTTGTTGCACAGTTTTCTTGAGGTTGGCAAGTGACCGAGATGTCAGTCTAACCCATTCTGTGACCAACTTATCCTAACATGGGCGTCCCTGGGTTAGGTGATGACCATTCTATCAACTGTAAAATGTCTGACCTGTACCCACCAATCTTTGCAGCCTTTTGGCTTCTGAGATTACCATGAACAATGGCCTTTACTTCAGGTGCACATTAAAAGAAATGCACAGGAACTAAAAAAAGAAAATAGAGACTGAAGAAAGGTCTGAATCAGCAGACCTCAAAGAATGGGGACTGCAGACTGATGCCAAGCAAAAGGAAAGCTGCAGCTGTCACAAGTTGTTCTCAGCAGGGAATCTGGAAAGGATTCCAGATGGGGAGATAGATATCAAACCAACACAGTTCCCAATATGGAATCTAGAGACAGAATCAAGAGACTAATAAACTGTGGAAAGCCAATTAGATCATCAGCTCAAACATACAAAGTATGGAGCTCAACCAAAAGGAACTTACCAATGGCCCTCAGAAAGAGCAAGAAAGACAACGAACTCAAAAGAGTTCACAGGGTACCATGCCTGTGTTTCCCGCTGTCCGTGAAAGCCATTAGAAGTTCACTGCAAATCTCATTGCTACCACCTGTTAAAAACTAAAATTCAATGAAGTAAATTTGAAAATGTATTGGGCTTTATTAGATGATTCATCATGGGCAGACAGCATCCCATCAAGCAACTATAAGAGGGCTCCCAGTACCACACTTGTTTTGACTACTATTGTTTAGCAGCATAGTTTTTTGGATTCAGGGAGTGTGACATGTCCAACTTTGCTCTTTTTTCTCAATGTTACTTTAGCTACTAGGGTGGGGTCTTTTGCAATTCCACACAAATTTTAGGATTAGTTATTCAAGTTCTATAAAAAAAAAAAAAAAAGCCTTTGGTATATAGATAGGGACTACATGAAATCTGTAGATTGCTTTGGATTTTGGAACATTTTAACAATATTAATTCTTCTAAATCAGAATCATGGATTTATTCTCCTTAATTGTGTCATCATCCATTTCTTTCATCAGTATTTAAGAGTTTTCAGATTACAAGTCTTTCACTTCCTTGGCTAAATTTATCTTTAGGTGTTTAATTCTTTTTGCAATTTTTTAATTCTTGATGCAATTGTAAGGGGGATTGTTTTAATTATTTCTCTAATAGTTCATTAGTGTGTAGAAATTCAATTAACCTTTGTATATTAATCCTACAACTTTACTGAATGTCAAAATTTTTTTATTCTACAACTTTAGTTCTAATGGTATTTTAGTGGAGACTCCAGGGATTTCTATAAAACATCACCTGCAATCAGTGACAATTTTACTTCTTCCCAATTTGGATGCCTTTTACTTCTTTCCTTGTCTAATTTCTGTGGCTAAGACTTCCAATACTATATTGAATAAAAGCAGGAAGAGTGGGCATCTTGTCTTGTTCTTGATCTTAGAGGAAAAAGCTTTCTCTCAGCTTTTCATCACTGAGTATGTTAGCTACGGATCTGTCATATATGGCCTTTACTATACCGAGGGATATTCTCTCCACACCCACTTTGCTAAGAGTTTTTATCATAAAAGGATGCTGAATTCTGTAAAATGCTTTTTCTGCATCTACTGAAATGATCATATGATTTTTATCAGTCATTTCAGTAATGCAGTGCATCACATAATTGATTTGTGAATGTTAAAGCATCCTTGCATCCCTGGAATGAATCCCACTTGATCATGCTGCATGATCCTTTTTAAAGTATTGTTGGATTTGGTTTACTAGTATTTTGTTGAGGATTTTTGCATCTACAGTCATCAGGGATATTGGGTTGTAATTTTCTTTTCTTGTAGTATCAATTCTTTTGTTTTGGTGTCAGGGTGATGCTGGCCTCATAAAGTGACTTTGGAAGTGTTCTTTCTTCTTCAATTTTGCTTTTGTTATTTTGAATAATTTGAGAAGGATGGGTATTAAACTTCTTTAAATGTTTGGCAGAATCATCTGTGAAGCCACCTAGATCTGGACTTCTGTTTGCTGGCATTTGGTGGGGAGGGGGGTGGAATACTAATTCAATTTCATTACCAGTAATTGGTCTATTCAGATTTTCTAATTTCTCATGATTTAGTCTTGGAAGACTGCATGTTTCTAGGAATTTATACATTTCTTTTAGGCTGTCTAATTTGTTGGCATATAACTACTCATAATGTTCTCTTATGATCTTCTGTATTTCTGTGATGTTGACTGCTTTCTTTTCTGATTTTATTTGGGCTCTTTTTTTCTTCATAAGTCTGTCTGGCTAAAGATTTGCTGATTTGTTTATCTTTTCAAAGAACCAGCTATTAGTTTCATCAATCTTTTCTATTGCCTTTTTAGCTGCTATTTCACTTATTTCTGCTCTGATCTTTATTATTTCTTTCCTTCTACTAACTTTGGGCTTTGTTCTTCTTTTTCTAGTCCTCTGAAATGTAAAGTTAGATGGTTGAGAGTTTTCTTGTTTCTTGAGGCAGGCCATTATTACAAAGAAATTCCAAAAAAAAAAAAAAAAGAAATTCCCTCTTAGAAACTGCTTTTGCATCATTCAGCATAAGGAAGAGTACCCTAAAAGTATGAGGAAAGTTAGCACAGCTATCGTGCTATAATCAAATCAAGCAAACACTTACAAGGTCATTCATATTAGTTTGGCTAGCTGGATTAATTTCCTCCAAAAATTCTAAGACATAAAATGTGTATCTATCCATAAGATGGACTCCAACTGCAGGATCAGGTTGATGCTATGAAAAAGCAAAAGAAAAAAGTACATGTCTAGTAAGAGATATGATCATTAAAACAAAATACTTAAAATATAATCAAAATTTCCATCTAAGATATAAAGTCTAAGAGTACGAAATAACATATATTTATAAAGCACATAAGTAATTTCAGAAATAGCTACATATTCCAACAATGCCATTTACAAACAGGAAAAAAAAATGTACCTACCGAAAGTGAATCTTCTCCCACTTGGCTACTAGCTAAAGCCATTATGTTAGGAGAATAAAATCTCTCATACATGGATGCTCCTTGACAAGTATCAATAATAAATAGTAGCTCATTGTATCTGAAAGAAAAGTGATAGTATCTTTGACATGAATCATGCTGTTTATCATACATTGATTAATATTTTATAATACTTCCATAAGATATTTAAGTCATATCTTAATCATTTCATCAGCTAAAAATTTGAGGTTTTTCAATAGAATTCCAAATATATATCTAAACTAGAAAATTTAAAGGTATAATCATATCTGGGGAAACCACGTCAACAGAATGCAGTGGCTGTACCACAAAGTGGCTGCCCAAACTCTCTTCCCTTATCTATGACATACAACTCAGAGTCCGAAAAAATGTTCAAAACAAAAAGCACTTCTCTGGCACTCACACAGTCCTAGAAACTGAGCTAGTTTTAGGAAAAAAAAAAAAATACACACACACACACATATATATATGACAGTCACCATACTCAAAGGTCTCAAAATCTAACTAGAAGACAGACATGTAAACATGTAACTGAATCAGAATATAATGAGTATTACAAATGCTACTGAGGGCCTACAGCACGCCTGACACTAAGCTGGGGAGGCAGTACAGTCCCTGCCCTCACGCGCGTAGAGTCTAACAAAGCCACAAACGTTCCAAGGGCACTGACAAAGAAAGAGAGGGAAAGGCAGGTCACAGAAAGGTGATGTGTCTGCCAAGAGCAGTGAGAAGTGAATGTTCTTTAACAAAGAAAGAACAGCACATTCCAGCAGAGGAAGAAGCCTATGTTAAGGCACCTAAACATAAAAACTATCAATGCTTGGGGTAAAGGAATAGTATGGTGCAGTTCAGATTTAGAATTAATTTGGTAAAATGGAGAGAAATTAGTTTCAAAAAGGTAGTGTGCTACTTGCTCAATCATGTCCGACTCTGTGACCCAGTGGACTGTAGCCTGCCAGGCTCCTCTGTCCATGGAATTTTTGAGACAAGAATACTGGAGTGGGTTGCCATTCCCTTCTCCAGGGGATTGAATCTGGGTCTTCAGCATTGCAGGCAGATTCTTTACCATCTGAGCCACCAACATAGGGCCAATCTGTAAAGTATCCTGTGTGAAGTTTCGATCTTATCCTATAAATCTGAAGAAGCCATCAAAGGCTTTTTTAAAGTGAAAGAATAACATAATTAGCTCTACATTTTAGAATGAGCTGCCTGGCTGATGAAGATGAAAATAGAAAGCAGATAATATTTTCTCAGATACTGAATCTAGGTAAACAGCTAACACTACACCCAAAAAGAAAGCACGAATGATATCTAAGCAGATGATACAATGAATATGACACATTTGTTCTGAGACAAAAATCTGTGGATACTTCTGGGGATCAGGACCATCTAAAGTTACGAGAGGCAGTACAATAAAACAATTAAGAGAGTAAGCTTGGGGACAGGACCACTTGGATGTGAATTCTAGCATGAGCACTTAAGAGCTGTGCAAAGTTTGGCAAGTTATTTAAACTGTGCTCAATTTAGACATTTTTAAGAATGAGAATCATAATGTATCTGCCTCATGGAGTTATTAAAATTAAACAGAACAACAACACATGGCAACACAGTGCCAGTGCCTAGTATACATTCAATAAACATAGCTATAAGATAAAATCAGTACCAAGCAAAAGCTGTCTCAATACTTCTATACATTCTCCTTATGCTTATAATCCAGTATTTAGAATATTCAATTTGTAGCATAGCTGTGTACATATTTCTGTTTTCTACCAGATTTTAAACACTGTGAAGGCACAGTAAGCATCCTATTCCCCTCTGTGCCATATGCTTAGAAGGTAAACCACAAGCATTTGTTGAGCATAACCAAGTTAAAAGCAATTCAACTGATACTTTATTTTTTTAATTGATTCTTAATTGGAAGACAATTGCTTTACAATGTTGTATTGGTTTCTGCCTTACAGTGACATGAATCAGCCATAGGTATACAAATGTCCTCTCTCTTTTTAACCTCCTTCCCACCTCCCATCCCATCCTACCCATCTAGGTTGTCACAGAGCACCTGGTTGAGATCTCAGTATCATAGAGCAAATTCCCACTGGCTATCTACTTTACATATGATAGTGTTTATGCTTCAATCTACTCTCTCAATTTGCCCCACCCTCTCCTTCCCCCGCTGTGTCCACAAATCCATTCTCTATGTCTGCATTTCTATTGCTGCCCCACAAATACATTCATCGGTACCATTTTTCTAGATTCCATATATATGTACTAACATAGAATATTTGGTTTTTTCTCTCTGACTTACTTCACTCTGTACAACAGGCTTTAAGTTCATCCACCTCACTGGAACTCACTCAAGTCTGTTCCTTTTTATGACTGAGTAATACTCCATTGTATATATATGTACCACAGCTTCTTTATCCATTCATTCATTGATGGATGTTTAGGTTGCTACCATGTCCTGGCTGTTGTAAACAGTGCTGCAATGAACACTGGGGTAAGTAAAAGTCGCTCAGTCATGTCTGACTCTTTGTGACCCCATGAACTGTACAGTCCATGGAATTCTCCAGGCCAGAATACTGGAGTGGGTAGCCTTTTCCTTCTCCAGGGGATCTCCCAACCCAGGGATTAAACCCAGGTCTCCCACATTGCAGGGGGATTCTTTGCTGAGCCACAAGGGAAGCCCAAGAATAATGGAGTAGGTAGCCTATCCCTTCTCCCACAGATATTGCCGACCCAGGAATCCCGACCCAGGAATTTAGAATTGTCGTTTTCTCAAGGTATATGCCCAGTAGTGGGATTGGTCAAATGGTAGTTTTGTTCCCAATTTTTACGAAATCTCCATACTGTTCTCCCTAATGACTGTAACCATTTGGGTTCCCACCAACAGTGCAAGAGGGTTTCCTTTTCTCCACATCCTCTTCAGCATTTATGGTTTGTAGATTTTTTGATGATGGCCATTTTGACTGGTGTTGAGGTGATATCTCACTGTAGTTTTGATCTGCATTTCTCTAATATTTAGTGATAATGAGGATTTTTTTCACGTGCTTATTAGCCATCTGTATGTTCAACTGCTCATTTAAATTCACTTAAGTCCACATAACAACTTTCAACTAAAAGAGTGCTTACCACAGATTACTAATAATATATCATTGCTAATGTGAGCTGCTACAAATTTTATACTAATACTAATTTCAGCATTTTTCCCAAAGAAGAAATAATATGTTGTCATCACATGAAGAGTCCAAGAATGTGCAAAAAGTAAGAATAAATACAAGATAAGAAATAAATGTATGTTCACAATCCCCCTAAATAATGGGGCACTTGGTTATTAGGAATCTTATTTTCTTCAAAAAGGATGAGAAATAATAAGAGAGATGATCTTAAAAGGTGAACTTTTTCCATGCTCTTTAAGAAATCTAAATTTTTCCTTTAAAAAAATTCAGTTCATACTTCTCTAAAATATAATAAAACTACTGCTATAGTAATTGCTAAAATATATATATATATATATATATATAATTCAGTTCAATAGAAACAACAAACATAAATCTAAAGTTAGAAGAAGTAACATAAAAATAAGTTTAAATCTCACAAGATTTGTAAATCTACTAACCATGGAAAAATTGGGTACTAATTTATCTTATGAAAAGTAGTCATTTATTACCGTCTTTTCTGCCACATTTGTTCAAAAGCATCTGCAAGTTCTATGTTGGTAATTTCTTCAGAATCTTGAAATTTCAAGAAACCATTTCCACCATGTCCTTATAGGAAGGGTCAGAAAGATCAAACAGACACTTTTTTAAAATGCAAACTGCAAACATCTAGATATTAACATTCACTTCATTCATGGCAATATTTTAATATCACTTGTTACTATATACTCTATGGTTAAAAGTACTTAATTTTTCTACTATACCAATTAAACAGAATAATGATAGACTGTGTAAAATATAGTAGATATATATTTAATAGCTTATCATTCAGTTTTATAAAAGCATATTTATACTTTTTCACTGGTTCCATTATTATGTCAAAAATGAGTTTCCATAGATAAACATTTCTCAAATACCAGGCAAACACTTTTGGTGAGAAAGGAGTTGAAGACACTAGCTAGTGCCTTAGTAAGCAAGCACTGTTCACAGTGTATACTTGAAATGTTGTAACTCTAGGAAATGCAGTTTTCACCTAAAAAATTATGTTTTTATAGCCATCAGCCACTGTACTATGAGAGCTGACCATAAGATCATGACATTCAAAATGCATGAGAGAGCCATGCTCTCTGTCTGGATACAAACGTTAGCTTTACGGCTTAATGACTGTGTTACCTTAGGCAAATAACATTTCTATGCCACAGTTTGCTCAGCTGTAAAGTAAGAAATGTATGAGTAAGACCATCATTAGCATGCCAATATAGGCCTTTTGTGCAAATTTTAAAAGGTACTTCCCACTGCCTATCAAAGTAGAAAAATCTATCTCAGTGCTCCTTCAGAATATAAGCTTAACCGTGGTTAGTATATGCCTTTGTGGGATAAAAAATATTTCCTCCCTCATTAGACACAACTCTGTAGCAGGGCCCTCACCACTCTGGCAAACTTTCTCTGTAAACAGCCAAGTAGTACATGTTTTAGGCTTGTGAGTCATTTGGTCTCTGCTGCAAATACTGGACTCTGCCATATATTTTGACAATGTTCAAAACAAATTTATATATTCTGAGAATATATAAAACAAATAGATGCAACTGTGTTTTAATAAAACTTTATTTTGTAAACAGGCAGCCCTTCTATGGGCCGTGGTTTGCCAGTTCAATCTTGAACACTGGAACTTTTCCCAAACCTGCAGTTATCCTGAAAGAGTACCAACAGACTCAGAAAAAGTCTGGCAGCCCATGTCATAGGAAGGCTTGTAATTATGATGATATAATGATAAAAAATGGCAATAGGTATTGTTTATTGAGGTTTACTATACACCACATAATATTCTTAATCATTGTGTACATTAATTCATTTCATTCTCACAACCTGAAGATTTTGGTGCTGATTTTCAGGGCTCTCACGTATGACTTATGGGTGTGCACTGCACGTAAGTGTCTGACCAGAGTGGTGAGTGCCCTGCTATAGAGTTGTGTCTAATGGGGGAGGAAATATAAATAAAACCTTTTGCTTAGTACATCAAATAAAGCCAAGCTACAAGACTATACTTCATCTTATTTGCCACAGAAGAGTGAAAATTTCTTATACATGTCAGGTAGACGAAAATGAAGTTTCCTGACTTCATTAACTCTGCTGGGTTAATTTATAAAGTTTATAAATTGACTGAATTTTTAAAGTTATAAATAAATGCCCCATGATAAAGAAAAGTAAACCACTAGGTAAGAGTCACTCTCTTGCTGAATGACATCTAGAAATCATTCTGCCCCTGTTTTATCATCAGCTGATAAGTAATACACTGTTTTCAAATATCATTTCAAGTTGTTATACATTGTGAGAAAAGAGAACTTCATAACAAACTATTTTAGCCAAAAATAATTTAAGGTATTTAAATTTCCTTCCATGCAAATGCCTTTTTGAAAAAGAGTCAGCATATTCTATCATTAAATATCTAAATTGAAAAATTACCTGTCATATAAATAAGAATATTGCTCCGATCATCAGAAAGAAGACGTTTCGACCGAGGCGTGCTAGATGGAATCCTCCCAGTTAACACCCGTAAAAAATTCTCCACAGTTACCTGAGAAAAAAATTAGAAATCAGATGAAATAGAACTTGGGTAAACCTATCAATTGTTTTTCCTACTTTTAAAAACTTTCCTTCTTCTTTCTCTATGTATTACTCAGCATAAACTAAAAATAAAACTTAGAAATATAATTCAATTAAAATATATTTATTTAAATATACACTTCAAAATAACTTTGTTTCCATTCTTTACAAAATACAAAAAACCAACAAAAAACTAGTTTGGGGAAAACTAAGCTAATTATAAATTTTAAAAGTTCAAATGCTATACAAAGTATCGCCAAAAACTGAAAATAGATTATTAATCTGTCTTCACAGGCAGTTCTTTGGGAAGATATAAAATATAGAAATATAAACAAATTCACCAATATTATAACTACTGCACTTAATACAGTCAATTACAATTAATTACAGTCAAAAATACCTACTTAGTCAATTCTAGATCAACAACAAAAGACAGGTCCATAATAAATCATAAAAATAAAACCATAAGGATAGATCCATAGATAACCCTGATATTATACATCTTTAATTCTTTAATGCATTTTGTTACTTAAATTTCATTAGCGGTAATTTTATTATGTAAAAAAATTCATAACACTGCAAGCCAGATCTTCCAACCAGGAATTTCTGCATCTCCAGGATGCTTTGAAAGATATTTAAGTTCTTGGAAGTATAATGATAATTTCAAGTTATATTACACAGATCTAAATTTCAAAAGCAGAAAATCAACCCAGCCTTCTTGTTCAACTCTTCCCTAGGTGAGTATGTAAGTGTCTATGAGTGTGTGTCTGTGAGTGTATGTGTAAGTTGTTTGGTTTACATTTTCTCAGAAGACACCAAAATGGTGTTTCTTTTAACAGGACTTCTTGTTGGCTAACAAAGAAGGGAAATACTTGGTCTACATTTTACAATGACCAAAAAAGAACAAGAAAAAGTCCAACATTCACAAACATTTAAGTGCTGAACAAACATTTCTGAGTGCCTTCAGAGGGCTGTAAGAACCCTCTAGGTATAAGATACAGAAGATACATGTCCTTAGGGAACTTACAGCCTGGGAAAAGACATTAATTTCTTCAAAACAGGTCTGGGAACATGGGAAACTGTGTCTTACTTTTGGTAGGTTTAGTGAATGGGGAAGGATTACTGAGGAAGACTTTATCAAGAAAGACTTGAAATGCTAAACACACTATTAAATTTAAAATAAAGTTTCAAAGGCAGAAAATAGAGTACAGTGTCTTTTTTTAACTTATTTTTAATCATATGTGCATAAAAACACTAGAGGCATATTAAAAGTGGTTACCTTTAAGTAGTATCAGTCATTTTAATATTTCCATAGTTAATATATTTACTGAAAATATAAAACTTGAAATTTTAGATCAAATATGAAAAACAAAGAATACACTTACTATAAAAGGAAGTTGATACACTAAACCTCAATAAAATAATATAGAAGCCAAGATAGAGTTGTTCTATCCTAGATACATATATGAAATTTTCATGCTGTGATACTTTTACTCATATATTGTTTTCTTAACATGAATTCTAGAAACTGCAGATTGTCAAAGCTACGGTGACAACCGTACAAAGTTTAAAGAAAAAGAATAAGATTATTTTATTCTACCACTCTGTTAGAACTTAAAAGTGAAAGCTACGTTTCAAAAATGTTGCCACATTAAACATTTTACCTCATAACTTCTATAATCCACTTCTACATCATCTCCATACACATTCAGTTCCATATTCTTGTGACTATACACTGTAGCTGGTTTAGGATTTCTAGGGTTGCATGCCATATCATCTGCAAGCATCAGAACAATGTGGCTAGGAAAAGAAAATTTTAGTAAATATACTATTTCAATAAAATCAAAAAGTTAAAAAGATATACTTTATATACGTGCTAAGTCTTCAGTAGTGTCCAACTCTTTGTGACCCTATGGACTGTAGCCCTCCAGGTTTCTCTGTCCCTGGGATTCTCTAGGCAAGAATACTGGAGTGGGCTGCCATGCCCTCCCCTCCAGAGGATCTTCCCGACCCAGGAATGGAACCCATGTCTGCCTCCTGTATTGGCAGGAGGGTTCTTTATCACTAGCACCACCTGCAAAGCCCATATTTTATTCATATCATGTGGCAATTATTTTCATTCTTTATTAAAAATAACCCCAAACAATTATTGAGCACATATTTAAAAGTGCTTATATTTTAAAAAAATTTTTAATATGTCCCTATGTAGTGTAAGTTTTAAAGAAAAGAAATCAGAATAATCTGGCATGAACTTATCCACAGAACTGGGAGTTACTAACTCAATTTTTTTTCCAACACAGTATACTTTATGCCATGTAGCAAAAGGAAGCTAAGATGAAAGAGTTACACTGTCCTCCCCAAACACTGCTTTTAATTTTAGTAATATCTGACACTCTCAAGACTTACAGTTAAACTGTGATAGTCCAAAAATTTTACTTTTCAGAATCGCAAATGCTTTAGTATGAAAACATACAATCCATCAGCAAGTGCAGTCTCTGTACCACAGGAACACATCTCCAGTGCAATCATTCTTCACTGGCTCCACTCCATCCCCCTGAAATCAGCCACCATCTCTCTAGCTGATGCTGGACTAGATGCTGGAATAGCTCCCATCTGGCATCCTGCTTCCACTCCCATCTTCCTGTGGTTCGTTCTCCTTAGAACCACCAGAGAGCCCTTCCTTAAACAAGTCAAATCATTAAACATTCTCACTTAAAATCTTTCAAGGACTCCCCATTATAATCAGAGGAAAACAGAAACTCCTTACATGGTCTGCAAGGTTTAATGTGATCTCTGTCTCTCTCTCTCTCTCTAACTTCACCCCTAACAGCCATGCGCACTATGCTCCTTCCACACTATTCAGGAACATGCTAAGCCTTTTCCAATTCAGGGGCTACTGACCAAATTTAGACTTCTTTCCTCCCAAATCTTCCTATCATTCCAATCTTAGCTAAAGTACTCTGTTCTCACTACATGTTTTCTTTTATACAGGTCATTTACAAATCTGCAATCTTCCCATCACCACCCCTGTTAGAATATGAGCACTTCTCTGAGGGCAGGGGCTTTTTCTGTCCTTCACTGCTGTATCACTCAGGCTTAGAAATACAGCCTGGCATGTAGTAGACATTTAAGAAACACTAACTGAGTGAATGAAACATTTTCATTTTTTGTGTGAATTTTCTTTGAGAGAAAATTACAACGTGTCTCTTAAATGCTTCTCATCTTGATCTTACCACTAAAACGAGTGAACATGAATCAGGCAATTCTTTATTCTACCATATACTTGAGCTTCCCAAACATAAGGGAAAAATTAATATGGCATACATAATTAGTCTCGCAGGAGATAGCAAGAAGAAAATGTTCCTCCGCATATGTTCCAAATACATTAAAGTTCAGAACTGAAACATTGTGATTTTTCTTAAAAACTGGCTAAGTTTCTATTTTGAAAGGGTTCCAACCCTGCCACATTCAAAGATCAGATCTTCAGCTGTTACTGATTCATTCTCACAAAATGGTTAGTTATTGCTCTTAAAATGGAAAATATATCTTCTCATTTTAATAACTTAAAATGATTTATATTAAGTTATTAGCAATCATACCTTTTTTGTTATACAACTACTATTAAACAAAAATGAGCTGACCTATAAATTTCAATATAAGATTATTCCTTTAGGCCATGTTTTTGGTTGAAGGTTAAATTCATTCCTTGAAATTAAATGTCAATTTCATAAAGAAGTAATCACTTCAGCATAAAATTATAAATTCAATCAACACTTTTCTGATAGACAATTTTGAGCTTCAATGTAAGTATTATAACCTTTGGTTAACATAATCAATATATCATAAAAAATCATGGTATCTGGAGACAATATATGAAAAACAGGACAGAAAAGAGACTGCACAATGTTGTAAAGTAATTAGCCTCCAACTAATAAAAATAAATGGAAAAAAAAAAAAAGAAAAGAGACTGCATTTCAAAAGTTTACAAATTCAACCATATATTCTAATGCATTGTTTCTAAAAGTTAAGAAATGTTCAGAACTCTTGTCTGGAGGAAAAAAAACCTGACTGGGTCCAAGAGTCAAATCATTTATATATGAAAGTGAAGTGTTAGTCGTTCAGTCATATCTGACTCTTTGCAACCCCATGGACTGTAGCCCACCAGGCTCCTCTGTCCATGGAGTTCTCCAGGCAAGAATACTGGAGTGGGTTGCCATTTCCTTCTCCAGGGGATCTTCCCAACTCAGGGGCAGAACCGCATCTCTCATGTCTCCTGCATTGGCAGGCGAGTTCTTTACCACTAGCGCCACCTGGGAAGCCTCCATTTATATATATGATACTTAACTATATAATGAAACTAAACTCCTTAGGTTTATATTTCTTATAAAATTATTTGTTGTTATTATTGTCAGTCACTAAGTCACACCTCTGCAACCTCACGGACTACAACACACCAGGCTTCCCTGTCCTTCACTATCTCCCAGAGTTTGCTCAAATTCATGTCCATTGAGTCAGTGAAGTCATCCAACCATCTTATCCTCTGCCATCCTCTTCTCCTTTTGTCTTCAATCTTTCCCAGCATCAGGGTCTTTCCCAATGAGTCAGCTCTTTGCATCAGGTGGCCAAAGTATTGGAGCTTCAGCTTCGGCATCAATCCTTCCAATATTCATTATATTCAGGGCTCACTTCCTTGAGGATTGACTGCTCTGATCTCCCTGTAGTCCAAGGGACTCTCAAGAGTCTTCTTCAGCATCACAGTTCAAAAGCATAAATTCTTCAGCTCTCAGCCTTCTTTAAGGTCCAACTTTCACATCCATACATGACTACTAGAAAAATCAAAGCTTTAACGACATGGACCTTTGTCAGTAAAATGACGTTCTCTGATTTTTAATATGCTTTCTTAGGTTTATAAAACTACAAATGAACACAAAATTCTAAGTTAGATTCTAACAAATCTACCAAACTAATAATACTCTAAGAACACTATTTGAAGGATGATACCATTTTGCTAAAACTAAATGACTGCTGGCTTCCCTGGTGGCTCAGACAGTAAAGCGTCTGCCTGCAGTGCGGGAGACCCGGGTTCAATCCCTGGGTCGGGAAGATCCCCTGGAGACGGAAATGGCAACCCACTCAAGAATTCTTGCCTGGAAAATCCCTTGACAGAGGAGCCTGGCAAGCTACAGTCCATGGGGTTGCAAAGAGTCAAGACACAGCTAAGCAACCTCACTTCACTTCAAATGACTGCTGATGTATTTAACAGGAGAAAGAGATAACTTCAGGCCTGGTTCTACATTTCATTTTTTTCTGTATTTTGACATCCACACAACAATATAATTTGATGATACAGAAAACATCTGCTCACAAAAGTATTTGCACAAAATGCAATTCATAACTTCTAGGCTCTGTTTACTGTTCAGAATAATCAGATCTGATATTTAACTAAGTCTTTGCCAACAGTCTTTGAACAACAATTATCATAAGATCTAACTTGTTGTCTCCGTAAAGTGTCTTTTTCACTGAATATCAGGCTAGCATCACAGCAGTTATTTAAGTCTTCACTGTGAATATGTTAAACGATCACTGCTAGAATCAAGATCAAAAAAAAAATCTACATTGAAGACATGCTACTACATTCCTATAAATAATGATAGCAAGTTGCTTTTTGTTACCTTATTAAAATTAAGATAAAAATCCCTCAAATATATCCAATTGATAGAAGAATATGATATTCTTACACTCTGGAAATCCTATACTACCATGTGTTATGACTCAATTCTCTCACTTAAGGTCCTGCAGAACCTACATCACACAAGCATAGGGTAATATGGCCTTCTCTCAATACAAAACCAAAAGAAAAGATAAGCACTGAAATTGTATAAAGTTCAAACTGAGTTTGAAACAAATACAGTGCTTAATTATATAAGTAGTTTCCATACTGTTTAAATCACACATTTCCCCTTGTCAGTTAAAAAAAAAAAAATTAGAGGACACACCCATATATGTATCTACTAATGTGTTAGTCATATGTATTCACTACTTCAAATATATATAATAAATACTAGTGAAGCATAACTTCTTTCCTTTATAGATTAAAAAATAATAATAAAGAAACTGCATTTTCTTCCCTTGCCACTATTTGTTGTCTGATCTAACAGAATCATGATCATGCTGAAACAGATTTTAAAGATCAATACAAAAATAAAATTTTAAAACCTCTCCAAAGACATGAAACCCAATTATAGAAATGTGTGAGAAGAAAACAATCCAAAACAAATACTTTCCCATTATTACACGTGCCTAACATCAAAGGGGGGCTTCTCTGGTGGCTTGGTGGTAAAGAATCTGCCTCCCAATGCAGGAGACGTGGGTTTGATCCGTGGGTCAGCAGATTCCGTGGAGAAGGAAACGGCTACCCACTCCAGTATTCTTGCCTGGGAAATCCCACGGACAGAGAAGCCTGGCAGGCTGCAGTCCGGGGGGTCGCAGAAGAGCGGGACACAACTCAGCGATAAACAACAACACGGAAGGAACAGGCAAGCCCTGCATCAGGGCTGCTCAGCCACTCTTTACCCTCCCCTCTGAAATTCATCCTGGCCCAGTCAGGAAGCAGTAACCAATGGGTACAAAAATAAATTTCACAGAGATAAAAAATTTTTCACTGCTCTAGACAGAGTACAAAGCTTCAAAAAGCATACCTTCTCATTTGTAACAGGCTGGTAGTACCATAATAAAAATTTTTCACTAAATGAAATTTAAATAGATTACTGTATTGGTAAAAAGTATTTTTAAACAATTCA